CCACACACACACACACACACACACACACAAAGACAACACAAAACATGTGTGTGTGTGTGTGTGTGTGTACACTTCCTTGTATATACTGGAAATTAATTTTTAAAATGCAAATAGCAAAAATGTACTTTTTCCCCATAAAAGTCACACATGGCACTAGTTTAATAATTGCAAGACCCTGGGTTCAATTCCTAGCACCACACAAAGTCATAGATGGATATAAAAATAAACTTATGCCAGGTGTGGTGGTGCACATCTGTAATCCCAGAAGCTTGGGAGGCTGAGACAGGAGGATCTTGAGTTCAAAGCCAGTCTCGGCAATGGAGAGGTGCTAAGCAACTCAGTGAGACCTTGACTCTAAATAAAATACAAAATAGGGCTGGGGATGTGGCTCAGTGGTTGAGTACCCCTGGTAACCTCCCCCCCCAAAAAAAATCTTACCCAAGCAAAATGTTTAATTTTCAGACAAATTCTGAGTACAATATCCATTATGTCTTCTATTCTATTGCCTGTTGTTATGCCATGGACTCCTAAAATTTCAGACAAATTTAGTTCATTTTTTATACTTCTGTGTATCTAATCCAGAGGCTGGCACATAGCCAAGTGTTCTACCACTGAGCTATATTTATAGCTCATATATCTGTCCTAGAACTTGATACTTTTGCTGCAACCTCCTGAGTCAGTGGGATTACAGATGTGAACAAGTTTTATAGGATTGGTCCATTGTGCCCAGTTAGAATAATGTGGTTTTTTGTATGTATGTGTGGTGCTGGGGATTGAACCCAGGGCCTTGTACATGCAAGGCAAGTACTCTACCAACTGAGCTATATCCCAGCTCCAGAATAATGTTCTTGATGGTGACCAATGACCTTCTCTCCACAAATGAATGAAAAAATGATGAAAAGGAAATGAATTTATATACAATGTTCATGAACTAGAGAGAGGTTTTACAAAATGAAAAGCATATAGTGTTTTTTGTGGGGGGTGGGGTGAGTACCAGGGATTGAACTCAGGGGCACTCAACCACTGAGCCACATCCCCAGCCCTATTTTATATTTTATTTAGAGACTGGGTCTCACTGAGTTGCATAGCACCTCACTTTTACTGAGGTTGGCTTTGAACTTCTGATCCTCCTGCCTCAGCCTCCAGAATTGCTGGGATTATAGGCATGGGCCACTGTGCCCAGCTTCAGCTGGTGTTCTTGATTGTCTGCTAAACTGATGGTCCTTGACTGAAATTTAAGAAACTTTCACTCATGAAGTGATTTGGATTCCACCCCCCACCCCACTCCACCTTTGGTACCATGGATTGAACCCAGAGATGCTCTACCACTGAGCCACATCCCTAGCTCTTTTTTTGATGCTAAGTTACTTATGGGTTCAACTAAATTGCTGAGGCTGGTTTATGAACTTGTGATCCTCCTGCCTCACCCTCCCAAGCTGCTGGAATTATAAGGCTGTACCATCCTGCCCAGTTTCAAGTGATTTGGATCTTAAATCTTTCCTCTTCACAAATAAGAAGTCTAGAATTTAAGGTCAAATTTTGCCCCATCATGTACTTAAACAAACCAAAATATTTGAAAGGTATGATGTATCCTTTAAACTCCACTCTGCTATTCAGCCTTCCTTTATTAATTTTTTTGTCTACCTAACCAGCGGACCCCTGGTAGTACCTTGAAATTCAGCAGTGAGTGTCACCAGTTTTGGTCAGTCTGGAGAAGCTTAGACTTGCTAATAAGATTACCCCCTTTCTTCTTTTCTTCTTAGTACTAGAGATTGAACCCGGGATCTCTCACATGCTATGCAAGAGATGTACCACTGAGCTTCATCCCTGGCTTTTTTTTTTTTTTAATATATTTTAAGTTGTAGTTGGACACAATACCTCTACTTTATTTATGAATTTTATGTGTGCTGAGGATAGAACCCAGTGCCATGCACTTACTAGGTGAGTGCTCTACAGCTGAGCCACAACCCAGCCCACATCCCTGAGCTTTTTTTAATAACTTTTTTTTAGAGGTGGGTACCCAGGGTTGAACTCAGGGACTAGACCATTGAGCCAAATCCCTAGCCTTATTTTGTATTTTATTAGAGAGAGTGTCTCACTGAGTTGCCTAGCGCTTTGCTAAATTGCTGAGGCTGACGAGCTGCGACCCAAATGATAACTTTGTTTATTTACATTTTATTTGGTGCTAACAATTAAACCCAGTGCCTCACATATGCTAGGCAAGCACTTAACACACTAAACCACAACACCAGTCCAATCACTGGCCTTTTACATTTTGACACAGGGTCTTGCTGAATTGCCTAGGTTAGCCTTGAACTTGTAAGCCTACTGTTTCAACCTCCACAGTAGCTAGGAAGAGTAACTGGATAATAGGAGTGTCCTATTGAGTCCAGTTAATCCCATTTATTTTTTAGGAGGAATTGGAAGGTGTTCTGAGGAGTTACTTATCTAAGGACACAGTGTTGGAGCAGTTACACCAATTAAAGTTTAATTAATCACATTTAATCTCATTTAAAATCTTTTTTGCCCTCATTAGTTTACTAATAAACTTCATCAAACTTGTTTGAAGACATCTTTTTTCCCAAGAAATTTTTTTTTTTTTTTAAGTACTGAGATTTGAACACAGGGGAGCTCTACCACTGAGCTATATCCTCAGCCCTTTTAAAATTGTGAGACAAAGCCTGGCTAAATTATCCAGGCTGGCCTCAATCTTGTGATCCTCCTGACTCAGTCTCCTGAGTCGCTGGGATTACAAGTATAAGCCACTGTAACAAGCCTCAAACATTTTTATCTGGGAGGAAAAGTGACCCTGTGCTCCCTCTTGTATTTCTCAGAATTAACCAGAATAAAAGTGGCAAGTTTATGCTTGGACTGCTAGGTTTTGAGAGGTGGGAGGAGCTAAATTGTAGGGGAAAATTGCCCCTTACCCGCCCATTGCTGGAAATAGAACTCAGGGCCTACAATATGCTAGTCAAGCACTCTCCAACTGATCAACATTCCCCAACCCAAAATGGGGGCATTTTTGAAGAAACAATGATACAAGGCCAAACTAAATTCAGGGGCTCAACGCTGATTCAGTTTGAAAGGAAGCAATTTCCCCCCACCCCCACGCTCTCTTTGCTTTCACCCTGTTTCCTCAGGTGTTTCAAAGCGACAGTCTAGGACCTTATCTAGCCCACTGTCCCTACATGGCAGGGAAATCACGATTTTTATTCTATCCTCCTACCCCTGTACGGTCTCTTCTCGCCGTCTCTTTTATACGTTTTCCCCTTCGTCTTCCCCCTCGGCTGACAATCTGAAAATGACCGTTTTATCCTACCGCCATTTGGACTAGGTTGCCTTATGGCGACCTTGACAGCCATCTGGGTGGGAGGCCGGAGGGGGGTGGCGGTTGGCTGTGTATGGGGGAAACCTTCAGATGGCTGCAAGGAGGCGCCACCAGCAGGGTACCAGGGCTGATCTCCACTCAGGTAGGAGTTCTTTGAAAGATTGACAGACAGAGCACCAACTGTCTTTGACCTAACTATCTGCCCCATCTCGCGAGATTTCGACGACTATCTAGTGGGGGGTCCAAGGCGCCTCTCTGAATGGGGGATGGGAATGTCTGTGGCGCAATCATTGCGCGAGATTGAGCCACGGCCGCAGAGGCTCTGCTTAGATCTCGCGATACTTCTCTGTCTCAGTTCTGGAACTCCGGGCAGTTTCTCGCGAGAGTCCGTGCCGAGAGCTCTGGGAGACCCCGCGTGTTTGTGTGTGTGTATGTGTGTTAGTGAATGTGAGTACGGGGAAGCATCGGCCGCCATTTCAGGGAGCTTGCCGACGCTGTCGCAGGGGTGGATCCTGTGCTGCCGAAGCCGCCGTCCTGCTCCTACGTACGGGTTCTTCTAATCCCATTGTTTCTTTTAGATTCGCTCGGGCCTAGTCGCCCTCGGAGCCCGATAAACGGGCTGGGCGGTACCGCGGCCTGGGCCTAGGGGGTGAGTACCAGGGATTGAACTCAGGGGCACTCAACCACTGAGCCACATCCCCAGCCCTATTTTATATTTTATTTAGAGACTGGGTCTCACTG